ATAATCTACTTTATTAAATTCTCAGCGCCATTTTTGGCAGGCATTGCAGTGAAACTGGATACTTCCTCCAAAACAGGCAGAACTTAAAAAATAGCTACATACACAAAAATCACCAAAGACAGGTTTCTTGGAAGTGCACCTAAACCTTTCTTTCTTTTTTAAAATCATTAGACAGCTGATTATTCCTTTGTTCAAATACATATTCCAATAAACACTTACTAAGTACCTGCTAAGAACCAGGCATATAGATATAAAGATAGATTAAGCCTTGCTCCTCAAGCTCCAGGATTTACATGTGAAAAGATAATAGTGTATGAAGTCTCATGAAAGAAGTAAGTCCAGGATGCATGGGGAACCACAACAGCATGGTCTTGGAGGAACTGATCCCTGAGTAGTCCTGAGATGGGTAGGTGAGGGCCAGGTGTAGAAGAGTAGGAAGAATGGTCCAGCAGAGTGAGGCATGCATAAAAAGACCAAAACCTTTAGAGAATGTGGCCAGTAGATCAGAAGAGCTGGAGAGTGGGGATCTGCATCAGGGGAGAGGGGAGAGAGAAGGCGGGAGACAGAAGCTGACGAAGGCGTCTGGAGAAGGTGGCAGGGACCAGATCAGGAAGGATTTTAATGTTGCAAGCTGGGAATCATTGGCTTTAGCCCAAAGGCAGTGGGGAACCTTGGCCAGAGAGTGTTAAGTCTTCTGATCAGAGGATCAGTCTGGCAGCAGTGGTGGGGACATGATGGAAGGCAATGATAACGAAAACCAGCAAAGAGGCTACAGCAAAACTCCAGGTGATGAATAACCAGCGTCTCAATAAAAGCAGTGGCTGTGCCTACAGTGAGGAGGGGGCAGATCCTTGAGTTATTTGGCAGACAGACTGGGACATAGTGATTTTACTGCACACAGAGAAAGAGGGAGAGGAGGGAGGAAAGAGTAGCTTCAGGGTGCAGATCTGGGTATCTGGCTGCACGACGGTCATGTTCCCTGGGTCACAGAAGACTAGAAGAGGTGCAGGCCTGGGGGAAAATGAAGGGGTACCTGGGAAGAGCAGTTTCCAAATAGGACATGTATCTCAGCTTGTCTGTCACGTGGGAGCCATTGGGGATGGTTTGAATAAATCCTGCTTTCTGGTTTTGAGAGCAAGTGATCTGTGATGTCTTTGTAGTACTCGACGTCACTACTCTTTCCCTGGGTCAAATTCACTTGTGGGTATGGATGGCTGTGGCAGTGAGTATATAGAAGGTCAGACTAAGGGATAGGAAACCCTTCAGGAAAGGGGACTGATCATTTACATATCAATTTCCCCCCTACCACACAAAACCAATGGGGAATAGCAATGTGGAGATGGGGTGTGGAACGTGCATCTGGATGCCTGGTTTTGGAAGGAGCTCTTTGATCCTGTGGGGAAATTGGGCTCAGCAGGGTTAAGGCATAAAAGAAGATCGATTTTCCAGAATAGTTCCAAGTGGGCAATGTGCTACATGGAGGACTTGGTCAGGAATGAACCATCCCAAAGGGCAGGCTGGTATAATAACACAGGGGTCTGGGACTGGGGTTGGGGAAGCCAGGCAAAGGGACTCAGGGGTTGCCACAAAGATGCCAGGAGAAGATGGCATGTGTCAGGAGGACTCAGTGCAGGATGAGGCTGTTCAGGTCTTTTCAGACACAGAGCTCAGAAACAGCAGCTCTGATTGGCAGTCAGGGAAGCAGTCCACGGGGAGCGGGGAATAAGGTTGGTCAAGCTGGCCCTTCCGGCCAGCACTCACGCTAAAGGAAATAGAATCCTGGGGTCTGAGATGTCAAGCCAAAATATGAAAGGAGACGTAGGGGCACCAAGAAGCAGGGAGAGGTCAGCCATAGGTTAAGAGGCTTAACAAATCTGTCTGGGAACAACAAAGAAGCTGGGGTCCAAAGGTCTGGGATTCTTGGATTTGCTACTGCTAAGCCCTTAAGAGCTCCCTGGCACCACCAGAAAGGGTCTTCTGACAATATGTGGCTCTCATATTATGTGGCCACTTTCCTCTTCTACCCCACATGCTCTCCCTATTAACTGCCCCAAAACCGAACAACTACAGCTCCCAGAACACGTTGTGCTATTTCACACCCATTGTTTCATACCTATTTTCTTTTCCTAGAAATATGCTTCTACTGCTTTGCCTACCCGGAGAAAGCTTCTCATCCTTTAAAAGCAAGCTACAATGTTCCCTACTCTAATCCTCACAATATAATATCATTGCACATACTAGACTGTATGGCAATTGACAAAAAATAAAGGTCATGCACCTCATGCTTGGCATGTAGTGTGCTTGCAATATGTGCTGATAAGTGAATAGAAGCATATATCCTAATATGGGTCTAGTTCACCCTTCTCTGCCTGGGGTGCTGACACAGTAATACATTCCTCTAACTGGTTTGTTTCCAGAGCCTTAGCCATACTGTCTAACAGGCATTTTAGCAGAAAAGACTCCTGATTGATAGGTGCTGGCCTCAGCTCAGACCAACCTTGCAGCCCCTCTGGGTCTCTGCAGTCCCTCAGCCAGCACAGAGGCTCAGCTCTGCAAAGCAAAGGCAATAGTGGGACAATGTCAACCACATATCCTACTGCAGTCATCCAGTGAGTTGGCCCTTCAGAGGATGACCTGAAGAGAGAGATGTAATTCTAGGAAGGGGATTCTGAGCCTTGGGGGAGGAAGAGGAGGAACAATGGGCTCCAAGAGATTCATGATCCATCACGAGGATGGGCATCTTTTGTGGGGAGGACAGTTCACAGCATTCATACGATTTACTAAGAGGCCCTTGACTATTAAGTATTAATATTCACCATTCCAGAAATACGCTTTGCTTGAGGCAGCTCTGCTCAGAGCACCAGCTGCTGAATCCAGATCCCAGAGGACTTGGTCATGGTCAGGACAGATCAGGGAAGGAAGCTGAGTTCCCCTACAGCTCAGCATTTACACACTCCCATACCATCCCAAGAGAAGCCTTTCTCAAGGCAGATGTACATATTTTAAAGAATGTCCATGATCTGTGTCTTGTACAACTTCAAACGCAGTGAGTAAGAGGGAGTAAGGCTCAGGATACCTCTACCTTGACCTTTATGTTCCTTAGAACAATAAACCTGCCAGAGAATAAAAAATAAAAGGCAAATCTCCAGGGTCTCATTCGTGATGAAAAGTTTGGTTTGACCTCGCGGTCTCAGTCCTGAGCTCAGGAAACGCTAATAAATAGACAAATCCTGAGTAATGGCTCTTTTACATTTGCCTTTTTTTTTTTTTTCTGGCAGAGAAGCATGTGGTGTTAGAAGGCAGCAGATAAAGGCTTTCCATACTAAAGGGGCAAGAAGCACACAAAAGAGAAAGCAAATCTAAAACTGGAGAGGCTGACACTAAACTCTGGGGAATTGAGAGTCACTTTTTACCCACATTCTGTAAAGGGCAGAAAAAACACAGGAAAAAGTTTCTACTGAAATATGTGTGCTTTGTTTTTACGTTTTTTGACTAGAAAAATATGCATCACTCAAATCCACTCAGATATCTGAATATCTGCTGGACGTTTTTTGTTTGTCTGTTTGCTTGGTTCCTACTGTTCCTTCCCTGAGTTCTGAAAAGATAATTAAAAAAGAATCCTCAGAGTGAACCTTTAAGTTTTAGTTGTTAGAAGCACATACCTTTGTACCCAAACACATGTGGGCTCTGTCATTGACTTGCTAAGTAATCTGGATAAGTTTCTGAATCTCTTTAAGAACTCAATTCTTCAGCAATGAAAATGGAAGTATGAATAGTACTGACTTCAAAGAGCTGCTGAGGGAATTAAGTGAAATGATGCATTAAAAAATCTTAGACTAACCTGGCATACTACAAGCATTCAATAAATGGTAGCTAAACAATAGAAGTAACATCTCTGTCAATAAAGAAAAACAATTCTAAGGACACATTTTTGTGCACAATCATGCAAGCTGTAACAAGTAGAAAGGAAGAAAAACAAACAAACAAACAAACAAACAGAAACAGTAGGCCTGTGCTCTTTAGTGAAAATTCCCTGCTTTATACCTTAGAAGGGGTGTCAGACTGTCTTCCTCACCTTCACGTGAGTTCGGGTCCGGCAGAGAAGTGTCCCCCCTCCCCTATAACAACATGGGTCATCCGTCCAGGCCCATGGAAAGCGCAGAAAACCACAGCCTGTGCCATCATGCTTTCTGCCCACCTCCACTACCCAGCTTAGCCAAGTGGCTGGACGGTTCTCCCACGATCATTATCCTTCAGAAGCTATTAGCACTGCATTTGTCTTTTCTCCAAAACAATTTTTGTCTCTTTTCACCATGTTAGAAAAAAATCTTCCCTTAGTTTTTCTTTCTTTCTTTTTTTTTTTCTTTTAAAGCATAGCGGCCTGGGGGAATTCCTCCACACTTTGGACAATCACTCCAGCTAAGTTTGCAGGGAATGGTGTCTGCCCTAATTGGCAAGCTTCATTCCTGCTCACCACTTATTCAGACCACAAAAAATAATTTCAGCAAACGTTCTGCTCACGTCATAGTTTTGCATCCATGCTGATCTCTAGGGAGCCATTATTAATCCCAAGTACGTTTTCTCTAAACGTGTCTCCCAAATTCGAGTCCTACTTCTTCCAAGATTTCTATATGGCTTCTCTTACTCAACACTACGTTAAACCAAAATTCTATTTCTTTCTAGTTAAACTATCTTCCCCATAGCGGAGAAAGAAAAGAAAACAAGGCTTTCTTGTTTCATTTTATCAAACAAAGCTGACTTAGCTTATTAATTATAAATAAACAACAGAGATGTAGGTTAAGGACTCTAGATAACTCCCTTATCATTTACCAATTCCTTCAGTATCAGGGAAGCATGGCTTGGCACCAGGATTGGGAAAGATAGGATTCCACATGTCCGCCACTTTGGACATTCCTTATTTCTATGCTTTCAATAAGTGGCAGTCACAGTTTACACGAGCACAGAGTTCAAAGAAAATCACAACAATCAAACTTCCTTACCCGGCAGTCTCTCTGCAGTGTTTTCATAAGCGCGTTGTATGTTTCTGTATCAAAATACAACCCTTCGTGCATGTCTTGCAGGAAGTCTAAGTCCTTAAACGTGGGGTTGGATTTCTCTCTCTCTTTACGGGATGCTCTCCGCTTATACGTTGAGCCTTTCAAGTCATATGTAAAGTGCATTCTCATGGAGCGTGGCAAAACGTTGTTCATCACCACAATCCTGATATTAATGCCTCCTGACTGCATGCAATACAGTCCGTAAAATTTTGGCAAAAGAGTCCTTGGATTCTGGTTTAAATTCTAGAAACCAAAACAAGAAAAATATATTTACAATCTTCTATTTTGACAAAATAATGTTCCACTAAAAATGTGTTTTCATGCTGATATGATAATTAAAAATGGAATGTGATTGTCTTTATTAATGTCCATTACTAAAATTTTGCTGTTTCTAATCTATGTCTTAAGTCTGCTTATTGGACAGCAATTTTATTATTCTAAACTCAGGGCAGTGAAAGTGACTGAATTGAAATTGGACATAATGTCCCAAATTGGCTCCAACTAAAAACAGGCAAGGAATTGACTGGTGCCATGAGTGACTATTCTCTAAGGCAGCTAAAGAGAAAATGAATTGCCAAGGTATAAGGGATGAACATTTAAAATTTTAATAGCTCCTGCAAAACTGTCTTCCAAAATGGCAGACCAATTTACAACCACACTATGTAAGATTGTACATAGATTTTCCCGTCACTCTTACCAGTGCTGAATAGTACCCAAACTTTAAAATCTTTGTAAGCATGATTAGTGAAAAATGGAAACCTGTTTTTAAAAATTTGAATGCCACTGATTATTTATGTATTTTTAGTCACCTTAAAGATAATTTTGCTCATTTTTTTTCTGTAGGTTTTTGTCACTGTTGAAATTCTTGATATATTCTGGATATTTATCATTTCTTTCATCTATATGGGGTAGTTTCTTCCAGTCTGTTGTTTTTTTTATTATTTAAAAAAATAGGGAGGCCAGGCGCTGTGGCTCATGCCTGTAATCCCAGCACTTTCGGAAGCCGGGGCGGGCGGAACATGAGGTCAGGAGTTCGAGACCAGCCTGGCTAGCACAGTGAAACCCTGTCTCCACTAAAAATACAAAAAATTAGCCTGGTCTGGTGCCATATGCCTGTAGTCCCAGCTACTCAGGAGGCTGAGGCAGGAGAATTGCTTGAACCTGGCAGGCAGAGGTTGCACTGAGCCGAGATAGCGCCACCGCACTCCAGCCTGGGTGACAGAGCAAGACTCCGTTTCAAAAAAAAAAAAAAAAAAAGAAAGAAAGAAAGAAAGAAAAAAAGGGAATACATACCTATTTTTGTTCCCTTTTGAAGTAGATAAAAAATTAAAATAGTTTACAAAAGGGCATGTATTCAATGAAAAGTGTCTCCGCTATCCTTGATTCTTCCCCCAATTCTCAACATTTGAGAAAACCACTGCTCTCACTTTATTTCATTCCAGAAATATTCAATGAGCTTATATTAATTTTGTGTCTGGTACTTTTTGTTATATAAATGTGTTGCCTTTAAAAAAAATTTTTTTTTTAAATTTTTTGAGAGACGGAGTTTTGCTCTGTCACCCAGACTGGACTGCAGTGGCATGATCTTGGCTCACTGCAACCTCCACCTGCCAAGTTCAAGTGATTCTCCCGCCTCAGCTTCCCAAGTAGCTGGGACTACAGGTGTGTGCCACCACGCCTAGCTAATTTTTGTATTTTTAGTAGAGATGGGGTTTCACTATATGTTGGCCAGGCTGGTCTCGAACTCTTGACCTCAAGTGATCCTCCTGCCTTGGCCTCCCAAAGTGCTGGGATTATAGGCATGAGCCACTGCACTTGGCCTAAATGTGTTGCCTTTTGATGTGGTCATATTTATTTACTTGTTTCTTATTTTTGTGTGTGTGTGTTTGCTTTTTATTTTTTTTTTTGAGACGGAGTCTCGCTTTGTCGCCCAGGCTGGAGTGCAGTGGCCGGATCTCAGCTCACTGCAAGCTCCGCCTCCCAGGTTTACGCCATTCTCCTGCCTCAGCCTCCCGAGTAGCTGGGACTACAGGCGCCCGCCACTTCGCCCGGCTAGTTTTTTGTATTTTTTAGTAGAAACGGGGTTTCACCTGGTTAGCCAGGATGGTCTCGATCTCCTGACCTCGTGATCCGCCCGTCTCGGCCTCCCAAAGTGCTGGGATTACAGGCTTGAGCCACCGCGCTCGGTCTGCTTTTTGTTTTTAACAAAGCTTTTTTATATCCCAAAGTCATAAACTTTTATTTTCTTCCAAATTTTTAATAGTTTTGGTCATTACAGTTGGTCTTTACTCCCTATGGAATTAATTTTGTGTGTATGCGAAAGATCTGAAATAGAGAATTTAATGTTTTCCTCAAATGGATACTTATTGAACAGTCTGACATTTTCCAATTGAGTTTAAATCCCCCCATGTCAATACAATAAGTAGACAAATTCACATAGATCTATTTCTGAACACTTTATTTGAATCCATTAATTTATCTGTCTAAAACTGTACTCATCCTACATCCTTAACATTAGTTACAGCCTTACAGATTTTTGGTATATGCTATAGCAGGCCTACTGTTTTTCTTCTTTTTCAAAAATGTTTTCTCCATTCTTACAAACTTTCTGTTTAATTGTTCATTTTAAAAAACATTCTTCAAATGAGACTTGCTCGCACTTTCACAGAAATCGGCTTTGTCGAGCTATGTTGAAAAATCCTATTAGAATTTTTGCTTGGAATTAGACTGGATTTATAAGTTGATTTGGGAGCAGTTGAAATCTTTACAATACTGAGTTCAGGAACAATGCATATTTCTTCATTATTTCAGATCTTTTTTATGTCCTTCAATAACATTTTGTAGTTTCCTTCATATTGGGTTTGTAACATTTGTTTTTATAGATTCAAGTATTTTAGCATTTTTCTTATTACATTCTTTCTGAACTGATTATTGTTTATGTTTTCCACGTACTATATCTTGCTTTCCCAATCAGAATTACAGTACTCACATGACTTTATTTACTTATTTCTTTATTTTTCTAATAATGTTCATTATAAGTTGTTGTCATCATGAACAGGATCTCTTTTTTCTCTTATATTCTCCTAGTCTATATCATCTATATAATGGAATATAATGGATTTTGTAGATTTATCTTTTATCCTGCAAATCTGCCACAGTCATATCACTTCTAGAAATTCCTGATTTATTTTCTTGAAGGTTTGCTCATTTTGAATTCTGTCATTTAAACAGAACAGTGCTTGTACTTATTTTGTATTTCTTTTTGTACTCAAGACTCAATGCCAGAATTTCTAGCAAATTTATCAGAAAGGACTATTGATGGGAGGGTCATTCTGGTCTATTCCTATTGTTTCTAGAGAAAGGATTCTTGTTTTTCTCCATGAGCTATTACATGAACTTTTAGAAGACTGATAAATGTACAACTCATGTATTCATTTATTTACTTACTATGCTTTTTTAAAAAAAACTCCCCTGCTACTTTTTAGAATTTTAATTAAGCAAAGATGTTGAATTTTGAGGGCCTTAGCTTCTCATCTATTTGGGTAACCACATGATGTTCACATTTTTTCTTGTTAATGGGATGGATTATATTGTTATACCAGCTTACATAATTGGGATAAAACCACTTGTTCAGCTAAATTTAATTTTTCTTTTTTTTGAGACAGGGTTTTGCTCTGTCCCCCATGCTGGAGTGGCTTGATCACAGTTCACTGCAGCCTCAACCTTCCAGGCTCAAGTGATCCTTCCACTTCTCAGCCTCCCAAGTAGCTGGGACCACAGGTGTGTGCCACCATGCCTGGATAATTTTTTATTTTTCTTGTAGAGATGGGGTTTCACCATGTTGCCCAGGCTGGACTTGAACACCTGGGCTCAAGTGATCTACCCACCTTGGCCTCCCAAAGTGCTGGGATTACAGGTTGAGCTACCATGCCTGGCTCTTAACTTTTTTTCTAATTTTAATTAAATATAAGTAGTCACATATGGCCAATGCAGTTTTACAAGAGGACAAGTATATCTGAGCTCAGAATTATGGAATTTTAAGATTTACTAATTAAGCAGGTTATAAAATAATATTATATCAATTTGATCCTAATTTCAGATAATTTTAAAATGTGTGCACAAACAAAGTATAATTGAAGGCACATATACCAAATTTTAGTAATATGTATTTCTAGGAAAGAAACTATAGTTAGTTGAATTTTTTTTGGCTTTTATATATTTTCTGTTTTCTCTAAAAAAAAAAAAAATACTTGTTCAGCATTGACATCTTTTAAAATCTGCCTGCAGGCCACTAAGATTTTTATTGAGATTTTTTATTTCTATACTTCTATATGAGATTAATTTAAGTATTTAATGCTGTGTCTAGCAGATTTTGGAATAAAATTATATTTTTACATAAAATGATTACATGGCATCTCATGAATGAATTTTTAAAAATAAAGATGACATTTATCACCACTCATAGCAAGTGACTGGCAGAACTTGAGCTTCTGAAATCCAGACAGCTTCATGTAGCCCTTCCAATCATAGAAAATTAATAACTGTTATGAAAGTACAATGAAACTGGAGGTATGAAAATGACTGGACGATTTAGGAAAAGTGGGGTTAGTTTTGAAAATTTTGGAGTAAATGTATAGTAAATCCATCCAGGCTAGGTTACTGTTCCTTTGTCTCTAAAAGATTACATGAAAGGTGATTTTTCATATTATCATATTTACCTATGAAATTATAAATTCTGAAGTCTAGTAGCTGGGAAGAGCTAACATAGAATATGTGCTGGTGTATTAGTGTAGGGGTGAAAAATGCATTCTCTAGAGCCCTTTCCGCTTGTGTAGCACCAGCTCTGCAGCTCTCCAGTTGAATCACCCATGGCAAGTTACTTAATTTATCTTTGCCTCAATTACCTCTTCTATAAAATGGTGATCATTGTAGTATCCAAGGTTGCTGTGAGGATTAAATGAGTTAATGAATGCAAAGCACTTAAGGCCTTGTTTAACATGTAATAAGCGAACAATGAAAGTTAACCATTTATACGATTACTGCGTACTGGCTGCAAAGAGCTTTGCAACGCATTGCTTCCTTTATCTTTCCTTATTATATATCCTGTATCCTTGCTTTATCACAACAACTATGTAAGATAAGTCTTTCTCAGCTTTCAAAGACTGAGGGAGCTAAGGCTCACCAGTTATGCTGCTTACTCAGGGTCACACAAGTAATTATTGGCTGGGTTGGGATTTGAACTCAGGATTGTGGGATTCAACAACTATGCTCTGCCATTCAGTTCTAGTTTACTTTAAAACATCTATTCAATGAATGTCATAGCATACTTTAAATGCAGAATAAAGCTTACCAAAGAGAAAGAAACATGCCTGAGTCATTGAAAAAACAACAGAAAAAAACTGTTGAGGAAAGTAATTAAACTTCAAGTAGAAGCTTTCATGATGTGCAGTTCCTTACCATGTAATAGCCCGGCAGGAGCTTCTGAAGAAACTCAGCTTCTTTGTGCTGAACTGTTTTGATGATAAATTCATCATCACTGGTCACAAAAAACAAGGATCCACTGGCTCCAGGGTTAGACAGTTCTATTAGAGGTTCACTGCAGATGGAATACTAAAAGAGTAAATGAATAAACATTAAAACATACACTTGATGTACGTGATACCTCCAAGGAGGACAATCATAGCACTGCACATCTTGGCTATGTTGAAACAAGAAGCTCTCTCTATGGGCTTTAAAAGAGGCTCCACATATACCAAGAAGGCTCTCTGTGAGATTTCTACAGATTTAATTGGTCTGTTTATCTTAATAATTCTATGATGAAAAACAGACATACACTCTTTACCCCCAGAGTCATGCAATAGCATCATGAATCATCCTATCTGTCCAATGAGATAATTCAGTCGTGTTGACTAAGGTGCTTTGTTTCCAGCAAATGTCCATAAAATAACAAGTGAAGATGTGATCCGCACTGTGTTTTATCCCTTGAACACCAACCCTATTCTCTTTTCATGATTTTCCCAGACGATGTCATCTACTCACGGTTTCAACAAGGAGATGACTTCAACATCTGTATCTCCAGCCCAGATCTTTCACTAGGGCTCAAGACCTGTTCATCTAACACTTTAATAGACATTTCTATTTTGGTTATACCACAAACAATTTATATGCAAGAAGTTCACAATCAAGTTAATCTCAAGGCTGTGGTTAGCCCATATGGTGCCTTTGTGGTAATTAGAGAGATGCAGCTCCGGGCCAGGATACAAAGTTGGTGAGTAGAAGAAAGGTTGGGGCCAGGCGTTGTGGCTCATGCCTAAAATCCCAGCACTTTGGGAGGCTGAGGTGGGTGAATGATGAGGTCAGGAGATCGAGACCATCCTAGCTAACACAGTGAAACCCTGTCTCTACAAAAAAATACAAAAAATTAGCCTGGAGTGGTGGCACGCGCCTATAGTCCCAGCAACTTGGGAGGCTGAGGCAGGAGAATCTCTTGAACCTGGGAGGTGGAGGTTGCAGTGAGCCGAAATCGCAACATTGCACTCCAGCCTGGGCAACAGAGCGAGACCCCACTCAAAAAAAAAAAGAACGGCTGGATTCCAGTCTCCACTCCTTCCCCTCGGCCAGCTAGGAGAGCTTGAGCAGTGCACAGCCTGCACAACTGCACATGGTGACCCTAGATCATCTGCTCCCTGTTCTCTGCCTTTTCCCTCTTTCCCTTAGAGAATGGAAGCATTATTTGCCTTGTTCCCCAAACCAGAAACTAGGGCATCATCCTTGACTCATCACATTTTCCCATCTTTCCTATCCAGACTGTTGATGCTACTTGCTCACTTCTGCCAACATCCTAAGTTCAAAAGCTTCATCATTTCATGCCTGAATTGTTATGGCAAGCTTCTGGTCTTAATTTTCCACGCTCATCCCCTCCAGTACATTCACCAGGAAACTAGGCATCTTTCTGAAATGCAAATCTCTTCATGTTTTTCTGGGCTTTCACATCTTTTACAGAAAGACAAACATTGCACGTTCTCACTTATTTTTGAGATCTAAAAATCAATGGTTCTTAACAGAGCTTTCAAAGGCCATGAATGACCCAGCCTCCTCCCCAGCCTTCCCTCTCATGACTTCCTCCTTCAACTTTAGCTCTAGCCCCAGAGACCGACTTCTCATGTTCTTTTTTTTTTTCAGTTTTTAAAAAATTTATTTATTTATTATACTTTAAGTTCTAGGGTACATGTGCACAACGTGCAGGTTTGTTACATATGTATACATGTGCCATGCTGGTGTGCTGCACCCATTAACTCGTCATTTACATTAGGTATATCTCCTAATGCTATCCCTCCCCCCTACCCTCTTCCCACGACAGGCTCTGGTGTGTGATGTTCCCCATCCTGTGTCCAAGTGTTCTCATTGTTCAATTCCCACCTATCAGCGAGAACATGCGGTGTTTGGTTTTCTGTCCTTGTGATAGTTTCCTCAGAATGATGGCTCTTAAAAGTGCTGCATACTCTCAACTCCCAGGCTTTTGCGTTGTCCTGTGCCTGCGACAACCTCCCTTCTACTTCCACCTGCCTACCACTCATTGTTGTATTTAATCAGCATTTAAAAAATACCTATTGAGCATCTGCTATGTCCCAGGCATTCATAAAGCTTATATCCCAGTAGGAGGAAACAGACAGTAAACAAGTAAATACGTTACACATCAGAATGTGGCAAGTGCAGGGGAGAAAAAATGGATCATGGAAAAAGCAGCAGAGAACACCAGCAAAGAGTGAGGAATGGGTTGCAGTAAATTCCAAATAGGGTGGTCACTGAAGGCCTCCTTGCAAAGGTGGCATTGGAGCAGAGGTTGAGACCAGGCAGCAAGCCACATGGCTATCTGGGGAACGGGCACTTCAGGCAGAGGGAAGAGCAAATGCAAAGGCCTGAGACGTGGTGGGTTCAAGGCACAACAGGAGGCCAGTGGCTGGAGCAGACAGGGCGAGGAGGAGCCCTGAAAGGGATGGAGCCCGAGAGGTCAGGCGGACAGACCACATCCAGTGCTATAGGCCACTGGAAGGACTTTGTTCTTTTCTCTAAGGGAGCTGAAAAGCCATTGGAGGGTCTGGAGCAGAGGACCTCTCTGTTGGGTTAGGAAACCACTGTAGAAAGACAAAGGGAAGATGCAGGGAGCATAATTCATAAGCTGCTGCCACAGCTTCAGCTTTCAGTGCCTGCTGAGACAGCACTTGCTCTGGAAAACTCTTCCTGGTTCCATGGATAAAAGATCAATTGCTTCCTGGCCCTGGATATTCTCATCACAGAAGTCACTACAAAACCCTGCAATTGCCTGTTTCCTTTTCCCCGAGTTGCAGAGATTGTAAAACTCTGTGCAGCAGAAACTGTGACTATCTTACACTGTGATACAGTTCCAAGACCTGTGCCTTCGAACATGGTAGGTGCCTACATACGTGGTAGGTACTCAAGAAATTTCTGTCAGATGGCTGAACTCCACCAACAATTGTATGGCTGTAAATATCACTGTTTTTGGTTTTATTAAACTCAGTGTTTATTAACTAATAATCCACATCATTGACTAGAGAAACACTGGGTGGCAGAGAAAAAGGTAAAGAGGCCATGCAGGTGTGAGATAGACCCAGCCTGGCAGAAGCAGGAGCTTAAAGAACCACATCGTCTTTAAATTTTTCTATTTTTAAATTTTTGATTGACAAACAATGATTTGTTTAATTTCAATTTTTTTTATTTCAATAGCTTTAGGGGTACAAGTGGTTTCCGGTTACATGGATTAATTGCATAGTGGTGGAGCCTGGGATTTTAGTGCACCCATCACCTGAGTAGTGGACGTTGTACCCAACAGGCAGTTTGTCATTCCCCACCCCCTGCCCACCCTGCCTCTTCTAAGTCTTCAATGTCCATTATACCACTCTGCATGTCTTTGCATACCCATAGCTTAGCTCCCACTTAGAAGTGAGAACATGCAGTATTTGTTTTTCTATGAGATATAATAATTGTATACATGTATCGGGTATGTGACATTTTTTGATCATGAATACACTGTAGAATGATCAAATCACGATAGCTAACATATCCATCACCACACACACTTCTTTGTGGTGAGAATATTTAAAATCCACTTTAAAAAATTAATTTAGAAAGATATACATTACTATTAACTATAGTCACCTTGCTATACAATAGATCACCAGAACTGATTTCTTCCATCTAACAGACTTGTATACATTCACCAGCATTTTCCTTTTCTCTATCCACATCCTACCACCTCAGCCTCTAGTAATCACCATTCTCCTCTACTTCGATGAGTTCAATTTTTCCAGACTCCACAAGTAAGTGAGATCATGTGATATTTATCTTTCCGTGCCTGGCTCATTTCAGTTAGCACATTGTCCTCTACGATCATCCATGCTGTTCTAAATGACAGAATTGTGTTGTTTTTAAAGGCCGAACAGTATTCCATTGTGTATATATATCACATTAAAAAATCCATTTATCCTTTGATGAGCATTTATGTTGTTTCCATCTTTCCCATTGTGAACAATGCTGCAGAGAACATGGGAGTGCAGACATCTCTTCACTGTACTGATTTCCGTTGCCTTGGATAGATACCCAGTGGTGGGATTGTTGGATCATATGGTAGCTCTATTTTTAGCTATTTGAGGAACCTCCCTACTGTTTTCTAAAATGGCTGTATGAATTTACATTTCTACCAACAGTATATGAGAGTTCCCTTTGCTCTACCTCCTCATCAAACACTTGTTATCTTTTATATTTTTTGATAATAACCATTCTAACAGGTGTGAGGTGATATCTCATTGTGGTTTTCTCTCATGATTAAGAATGTTGAACTTTTTTTATGTACCTATTGGCCATCTGTCTTTTTTTAAAAAAAGACAAGGTCTCGCTCTGTCACCCAGGCTAAAGTGCAGTGGCCTGATCACGGCTCATTGTAGCCTTGACCTCTCCAGCCTCTGGTGATCCTCTCACCTCAGCCTCCTGAGTAGCTGGACTACACGCATGTGCCACCATGCCTGAATACTTTTTTGTATTTTTGTAGAGATGGGGTTTTGCCATGTTGCCCAGGCTGGTCTCAAATTTCTGGGCTTAAGCAATCCACCTGCCACAGCCTCCCAAAGTGCTGGGACTACAGGGGTGAGCCAACATGCTTGGCCTGTATATATATATACACACACATACACACACACATATATTTTTTGAGAAATGTATATTTAGGTCCTTTGCTCATTTTTAAATAGGGTTATTAGTTTTCTTGTTATTGAGTAGTTTGAGTTCCTTATTTATTTTGGATATTAACCCCTTACCTGATGCATTATTTGCAAATATTTTTTCCCAATCTGTAGATTGTCTCTTCACTCTGCTGTTTCCTTTGCAGTGCAGAAGCTTTTTAGTTTGCTGCAATCTCTTTGATCTATTTTTACTTTTTTGCCTGTGCTTTTGGGGTCATTTAGGAAATCACTGCCCAAATCAATACTGTGCAGTAGTTTTTCCCTATGTGTTCTTCAAGTAGTTTTACAGTTTCTGGCCTTCCATTTAAGACTTTAATCCATTTTGAGATGATTCTTGTTTATGATGTGAGGTAA